ATCTGAAACACACAAAAAAAAATATTAAGCTGTTAATAATCTGGAAACAACTTATGTCCAAGAAGCTGCCTTGATGTTGATATTATCTTCATCTGGAACACACAAATCAAAATTATCCAAGAGAGCATTCAGCTGTTCCGTGTTCCTTTGGGCTTGATCCAATATTGAAATTATATGTATATTCCAACACCCAATAGCATCCGTAATAGCTACAACTATGATAGCTATCTATCTCTAGCGATCAGCTAAAGAGTATTTTTGTGTAATTAGATGTTTGTATGATTTTGAAAATAACTAAAAATGTTTAGTGGACTACGATTAGCAATTCCCAGAGTGTTAATTGTGTTAGGTTAGTTGGGTTGTTGCTAGTAGTAGTGGCTTGAAATTTTCAATAATTAAGACTTATTTTGAGACACTTTTAAGACATTGGAGCATTACACAAAAACATCTTTGGATGATTTCCAGTGACAGTAGCTAGCATTTCTGGCTATAGATTTAAAGTAGCTTAAACAGCCATTCAATTCAAAAATTGAGCAAAAGTCAATTTTTTTGGGACACTCCAGCATTCTATTTACAACAATACCTACATCCAGCATATAGCATTCTATTCCAACAGTACCTACATATCCAGAACCCAGCATTCTATCTCACAACAGCCTACATCCAGAATTTTCCTGGATCATTCATCCCTCACACAACTCATCTATACTTTATCCATTAACGCACTTTTGGGAAGCCAAGACAAAAAAAAAAAATTAATGACGAAAATAGACGCGAAAGATTTTCTGGAAAATTTCAATAGTTCTAATTTTCAGACACTCTGTGAAATGTACTTATTGCCTATAGTTATAGAGAATCAAATAAATCACTATTCAAATTTTTTAAAAAAAAAACAAAAATAAGAAAGATCTGCATTGTTCCAGATTCAGACATTAGAAAAATCAAGGGTTGTTCGTCCAAACTCAATAAATCCCAATTACCAAAAAATAATTGTTGGTACTAATTACCAAAATCCAGAAGTCAATTGATACACTATGGACACACGACGCTATAATCGGAAAATGGCGGTCGAAAAATCTTAACTTGTGTGAGAAAAAATCGATAATTCCCGGACGCGACTGGCGATACTTCATCTATCGGCGATTCGTACTCGACTAAATCTAAATCCCTTTGTCTTGTCCGACAAAGAAATCCCAATCTCAACCCCCAAAAAAAAAGTAAACGATAAGGTAATAAATTTGTGATAGGCGAAAAAACTAACTGCGTAGTAGAGTAGTACCCGAAGTTGAAATTTAGTCTAGTCTACATTTTGTCCAAAACTTCAAACTCTTTTTTCTCAAAAACCGTAAATGCTAGCGATTTCAACCTCTATTCGGAAATTCCCCATAACTTTTGAGAACTCTATCCCTATATTCCTACATATTGCATTTAAATGGCTTTTTTATCCTTTTTTTATTCTCCTTTTCATATATGATGAATATTAGTTTATTTTTCTTTTCTATATAAATATTTTCCATTTTTTTTTTTGTTTTTTTTTTTTTAATTTATATTTTTTTTTGTATATTGTTTTTTTTTGTCTTATTTGTATATTTTTTTCTCACTTTATTAATATATATATTTTTTTTTTTTCAATTCAATCATGTGCTACTAAATTTTAATATTTGAGTCTAACATAAATTTGTACAATCTTCTATATACATTGAGTTTGGCTAGGTCATAGAATAGCTCTCCTATGTATCTTTCATGTATAGGGCAATCGAGAATAAAGTGGTTTAGATTTCCTGGTTCTGAACATTCGCAGATGTCATTATTTTTTAGTCCTATTTTTTTCATATGTTCAGGAAACAGGGCGTGCTGACTTCTTGATCGGGAGATGGTCCTTATGAAATGTCGGTTTGTTTCTGTGTAAAACCAGGGTTTTTTATTTATGTTAGGAAACATTTCTTTGAAATGAATGCCTTTGTTAGATGCTAGATATTGTTCCTTCCAGCTATATATAATTCGCATTTTTGACTTTCTATATAGATCTGTATGTGGAAGGTAAAAATTTTGGGAAAAGGGTTCAACTATTGGGGTTTTATCACCTTTCAGGTATTTTTGGCATAATAACACAAATAATAGGAATATAGGGTAGGTAAATAATATATCTAATCATTTAATTATGAGTTTGAAATCACGCCAAAAAATATATCAAAGCCTTGGGTTTGAAAATTTGGAAAATGTGTAGTGATCATAAGCAAAGATACCTTTAACATGTCAACAACTGGGTACTTTACCTTACTAAAGACTAAAGTATGACCAGACCAGAAAGCAGAAAGCTCCAAACGTATTACTGCACTTTTAATGTTATGCACCTTTCACATAAGTGCGAGTGCGATAAGATAATGCCTGTAACTATTGAAATATAATTATTGGAGTTCTAGAATTCTCACAAGGCAAGTGTAAATACCCTGTTTGTAGCTATACAGGGCCGAATTAGTATTACAAAGCAGAAAACTGTACAAAATACCGTCAAGATGCTGCACAAAGCCTAGAATCCGAAAATCGTATACAAAGTGGCTTCGAAACCGTTCTTGTAACGGTTTTGGAACAGACCTTGATATTAACTTTCAATTTTTGTCTATTCCAGGTGCTAGGCTCTCTGAAATAATTCCGAGGTTTTCAAATTGTTCAAAATGTCGCTGGAAAGTGTTCTAAATGGCTTAATGAAGTTCTAAAGTGTTCTAACTTGGCTTGAAGAGTTCTGGAGTATTTTTAAAGTTTTTCGGTAACTTCTTAATTGTTCTGATAGATTTTTAAGTATTTTAGAGCCCTATCGAAGCTCCAAAATGTTCTAAATTGGTTCAATAGAGTTACAAAAGATTTCCAGTTCTAAATTGATTCCTGTTTGTTCTAAAATAACTCTGAGGTTTCTCAATTATTGTTTTTCGATTATTTTTGATCAAATTATCAATAACTATACATCATTGAAAAGTGCAATAGATTCTTTATAATACGTGTGCAAAATTGGGTTTTGTACCTTATAGAGTTTTAGAGATATTGAGCCTCAAAGTTGAAATTTAGTCTAGTCTACATATTGTCCAAAACTTCAAACTCGATTTTCTCAAAAACCCTAAATGCTAGCGATCTCAACCCCTTATCAAGTGCTACAATTTCTGTTCCAGTACCGCTTTTGGTTACCGACATATTAGGGATTCAAGATCTCCAAATAAAAATCCAAAGGGGGTAGGTACCCTTAGAAATAAGTGCAAAAAATTGAAAATGTCTATTTTTGGAGTTTTCTTAATTTTGACTTTAGAAATCGATAGAGCGAATCCGAATTAGTCAGAAACCATTCTAACATCAATTACATTTGGAAATTTCAGTGAGAGAGAAAATCTAAAAGGAAATCTCATTTTTGGCTCTGGACATTTTTTGAAATTTTGACATGCTCATGAATAATTGCTTATATTTTCGATTATTTTTAAGCAAATCAATAATAACTGTATATCATTGAAAAGAGCATTAAATTCTCTATAAGGCTGTGTAAAATTGGTTTTCGTAACTTTCGGGGTTTCCAAGATCTTGAGCTTGAAAGTTGAAATTTAGTCGATATTTTGTCTAAAACTTTAAACTCGACTTTCTCAAAAACCGTAAACGCTAGCGATTCCAGATAAATACCATTTTGAAGCCCTAGAGAAGACCCAGAAGCCTGTAATGTAATAGAAAAACAATGATTTTTCCATCAAATATTCACATAATATCAGGAAATTGCCTAGAAATTAAAAAAAAAATTATTTAGAAAACCCATTAATTTTGAGAATTCTCCCGCTTAAGGTTTAAAGTCAGGCCTATTGTTTATTGCAGCAACGCGAGATGTCAGTACTGTCGCCCCTATAGTATGCCCTAACTTGATAGTCAAAAAAAAATAGAAATCTGCATTTGTTTAAATTGTGTGATGGAAAGTTTTTTCTTTTTTTTGTGGAAATTCGAATTATTATTCTGTTTTACATGAACAGGGTTGTAGTTTGGACCAACACAAATAATTTTGAACGTTCATACGTCGGATTTATTTTTAAACAGTGTAGCTACAGGCGTATTTCCAACTATTTTTGCAATAGCGAGAAAACTACAAGTTCAAAAAATTTGAAAAAAATATATGTCGCGTAGAATTGCAATAGTAGTTCGTAATAAAAATAACGGGAAACTTCATCTCTTCGTTTTGAAATAAATGGTGAAAAACCACTTTTTTCAGTTTTTGCGATATAAATTTTTTTTGGAATTTTTGAACACAAGGTTCAGAAAATGGGGATTGACTTTAAACCTTAAAAAATAACACAGAACCTAAAATTATAAAAAAAAAGTTTGATTAGAAAATCAATTACATAATTGAATAATTCAATTTTTTAAAGATAAAAGTCAAAATGACATTATGTTGGCAATACAATGTAAAATTGTCAATGCTTTCAAATTTTTTATGTAGAAAAGGCTTGTGTTTCCAACATAGTTACCTACTGAATTTTTGACTTGGGGAATTATCTTTAAAAAAAAAAACAGACTTTAGCTTTAACTTTTATTTAAAATATTTCATTTCTACATTTTGTCTTACCTGAGAATATAAATATTATCCGATTATCTGAATCTTATTTACAAGAACTTCGACAGTTGTAGACATGATGTTGTGCGCAACTCGTGTGATATACCCACTAAGTACTAAAGACTAAAGTATGACCAGACCAGAAAGCAGAAAGCTCCAAACGTATTACCGCACTTTTAATGTTATGCATCTTTCATATAAGTGCGATAAGATAATGCCTGTAACTATTGAAATATAATTATTGGAGTTCTAGAATTCTCACAATTTTATTGCTTTTAAAGGATGTTTTTTTTTGCCCCATAAAAATCCATTTTTTATTCACAAGAGCCAATTTTCTGTGGTTAGGAAAAATCAATTAACCTGTCCAATTCTCATGATGTTTTAAGTTAAGCGGCATCATTTTTAACTGTCAGTAATAGAAAAAATGTTCCACATAATTTTGCTATTGACCCTTTTCGGCCCTTGTGTTGTGGTTAAAGGATTTATGGATACCGAATTGGCTTTGAGCTTTTTTAGAGGGAAACATTTAAAGCATAATGTGGTATTGACTTGTAGTGAAAAGAAAGGTGAGAATATTTTCGAAAACAAACGGTAATATTCAATTTATTTATATAAAGGGCAAGTTGAGATATTGAAGAATCTCACCAAAGAAAAAGATATGGTAATATCTGTGAAATTGATTAAAAATTTGGATATCCATGGTTCAATCGTATTTGACTATAATAAAGCAGGAGTTGTGTTGGATGCAGATTGCGTAGGAGCCGAAGAACTACTTATAAGGGTAATGAAATGGAATTTTCCTTAATAACGTAATTTTGAGTTCTAATAAATGTTACACTGTAGTCCAGAAGATATAGAGTCTTCGATACAAAAACCTTTTGGTTAATGCTTCATAGCTCCAACAACTATGGCCATCTATTCAGATATGTAAACCTGAATGTAGATTCTGACATAAAAGTTGCTTATCCAGCTAACGACTCAGAGATCTCAAATAAAAAGTACACAATTGACGATGTCTATAATCAGGCTTACGAAAAAGACGGGGAATTTAAGTCTAAAGAAGCTGGATTTTATGATACTCAATATGGTTATCAGGTTTTAGAGAAGGAGAATAAATATTTTGTGAGGCGGAATTTAACTGGAGTCAAATTTAGGTCGGCTGTTGTGGTAAGAACCAGTATCATAATTATAATATATGTATAATATCTATAGCAAATTTGTTATTTTATCTCGTATTTTATGGAAAAAATGTTTTAGGTACCAGACCCCATTGACGGTTCCTTGGACGATTATTTGAGAAATGATAGGGACCTTGAGTTGAATGCTTTAAATCGATTTCATGCAAGACTCATGCAATATTGCAGGGATTATTTAAATTATAGGTAATATATTTATAATTATAAAAATTATATTAATAATAACAAAAGCCCGGGTTGGTCAGTTCCTCTATCGTGCGCGTCCCCTTGCCAATAGGGAAATGCTCATATACGTTATTGCTTCTGGTAACGGCGAAGGGTAGAGAGGAAACAAAACACTCCTGGTGAAGCAAAAATTGACATCACGCGTCTAGCCGAAGCAGAGGCCTCCAAAAACTGGGGGGGCTGAAAAAGCCCGCTGTAGGCGAATTTTTTTTTTCAGGTGCCACGCCCAAAGCCAAAAACTATTATTTTGAGCATTCAAAACAAATTTTCTGTACTACCGACATTTTATTTGACATATGTGGAATCGACTAGACTCTGAATTGATTGATGCGACTCCTTGTGAAGGATTGGTGAATCAAATAAAGCATTGAAATGTGACTGGCTGATTAATGTTTTTTTGTGAAAACGCTTTTTAATTAACTTCAGTGCAACCTGATAATTTGCGTTCGTAACCTCTAGGCAAGACCATGGGGGAAGGATGAAGGAAAAGCACACGACATCAACTTCAACTATTTACACTATATTACAACTTTTACACTATTTACAGACACGATTTGAGATTCAAGGATACTACGAAAGTAGAGCCTTGTGCTATCGGTACAAAACCATGAGCATAACTTATTTATAATTTAATAATTGCGAACGAATCGCTTGATGCCTTTTTTAATCTAACAACAACACGTTTTTTCTTTTAGTTTTTTTTTTTCTGATGATTTTCGATAAAGTTCCACATTTATCTTTTGACAGGTGATTATAACCTCCTCCATCAACAATGTGTCTACTTATTTTCAAAATCGGTACGGTTTTAGGGCAGTTATGGCCCTTATGGAATGAAAATATGAAAACATTTGCTTCAAATTAAGTTTTTATGTTTTTTTCTGATGATTTTCGATAGGGTTCCCAATTCATCTTTTGACAGGTGATTAATACTTCCTTTATCAACATTGTGTCCAATTCTTTTGAGAAATCGAACGGTTTTAGGGTACTTATGGCCCTTATGGGTTGAAAATATGAACACATTTGCTTCAAATTGAGCTTTTATATTTTTCTGAAGATTTTCGATAGGGTTCCACATGAATCTTTTGATAGGTGATTAATACTTTCTTTATCAACATTGCGTCAATTTTGATTCCAAAATCGGCACGGTTCTGGGGCACTCATCGCCCTTATGGGTTGAAAATATGAAAAATTTTGCTTCAAATTGAGCTTTTTTTTTTTCTAAAGATTTCCGATAGCGTTCCACATTCATTTTTTGATAGAAGATTATTACTTTCTTGATCAACATTGTGTCCTTATTTTTTTTCGAAATCGGTACGGTTTTAGGGCACTTATGCGGCCCTTACGGAATGAAAATATGAAAAAATTTGCGTCAAATTGAGTTTTTTTTTCTGATGATTTTCGATAAAGTTTCACATCCATCTTTCAACAGGTGATTAATACTTTCTTTATCAACACTGAGTGTTGAAATGGGATTAAGACTGCGTTCCTTGTCAGTGTTGAAATGAGTTTATTTTTTGAATTTTAAATATTTTGAATAAATCTCAAAAAATCGTGTATGAAACACGTCGCAAAATGGCTGGTTTTTTGCACACAATGTGTTGAACCACTCGCTTCGCTCGTGGTTCAATCTTCTCATTTAGTGCAAAAAACACGCTCATTTTACAACTTGTTACATAAATAGCTATTATTTAATGGTTTTATTAATTCATTTATCCTCAGTTATTCATCCACTGTCACTTCAGCGCCAAATTTTGTTCAATATTTTCTTCTATAATACAGAAGAACAATTAAAAAAGCCTTGCAAACGAGTTGTAATGTTATTATTCGAGATTTTTGACCCCTAATTAGTCGAAATCGATTCCCTACATGCAATATCCGAAAAATCAATAATTTTGCTTAAACAAAAGTGAACAATATGTTTAAACAATTAATCAAAGTGGCGACTTGGGTCAGGATTGCCTTTGCATGGGTCAGCATGACTTTCCGTCCTTTTCATCAACTTCCAATCTAAATTTTATTTGGCATTGGCATCTGGTGAGCCTGTTTTGTGCTTTTTTAACAGATCGAGTGAATTGTTTAAATAAATATAAACAAATGACAGTTGTGGGGTAGTGCTAGGGGCCAAATCAATTGTTATGGTTCAAAGACCAAGTGTACCAAAATTCATGCTTTTAACACAATTTGCCGTTTTTTTTTTCATGTACCGCTAGGACTGAGCTTAAAATTACAAAAAAATTAACGAAACAAAAACTCAATCATTGAAAAGATCCTCGTCTAGAACACAAGAATATTTGAAGTCTATTCCATGGCAGTGAAGGCATATAGACCTGCAGCAGCCGACTTGTGAACCTACACACTTTTATTTTGTCATCAGTTTAAAATAAAACAGTCGAGCGGTTTTTGATTAATCACCTAACACTTGGGTGGGACGTTTTTCGTGCCCCACCCTGTATATACAGGGTGTTTGACGACGTTTTACCCAGATGATAACTTAGGAACGCGTCATCGAATGTTGTACTTTGTAATTTTTCATCATTTTCTTTAACAAAGCCGTCATGCGACACCTTGGGTATACAGAGCGGAGCACGAAAAACTTCCCTCCCAGGTTTTCTCAGATGTAAGGTGGATAATCAAAAATCAATCGACCATTTTATTGGTATTTTCATCCCCCTACCTGTCAGCCTCTAAGAGGGGGAGACAGGTACCCCCAAAAATTTCAAATAGAAAGGGGGGTCGAGTGATACATCATTTGATGGAAAGTTTTTATTAATAAACCGTCAGCAAATGACAGATTTTGCTGACCGATTTTCTCTCTTCGGGGATTTCAGCCACTGAAAATTATGTCAGTGCTGAGCTCAAAAAATGAAAACTTAGCGACCGGACGTGTGCTAGGCATATGGAAAATCTATTTTCCTGTTGCAGAAGAAAATAGGTTACTTTTTCAATTTCTCTTTCATGTCATTTCAACACATTAACCTTATAGAACAATCTAATAATGAAAAACCAAAGCTATAAGGTTTGTACGTACTGAAAGGATTGAAATAGGGGCGCGATCTTGTGTAAGAATATTCGGTTGCTGATCGTTTTCTCGCTTATGGTAATCGGCAGAATCAAATTTGATATCGTTAGGAACCAGAAAAGAACTTCCCATAAGCCGGTCAACTGTTGAAGTATATTTTACGGCCGCTACAAAAGGAAAAGTAAATTTTTCATAGGCCTAGCAGACGTCCGGTCGGTAAATTTTCATTTTTTGAACTCAGCACTGACATAATTTTCAGTGGTTGAAATCCCCGAAGAGAGAAAATCGGTCAGCAAAATCTGTCATTAGCTGACGGTCTATAAAAATATATACTATGTGACAAAAAAAAACGCATCACTCACTAAAAGTGTATATTTTTCAACAAATTTTCTACATATGTAAATGGTGTAGAAAATAACAATTATGGATTAAATGTTACTCTATTTTTATATTTTTCAATAAATTAAATGTAACTTTTAATAGCCCAAGCATATGTAGAGAATTTGGTCAACAAATATTTATACTTCTATGAGGTGATGCGTTTTTTTGTCACACAGTATATCATCGAAATTTTAAGTTCCGGCAGGGTAAATATTCCCTGACGAAAAGGCGGCTCGTCAAAGTTAAGAAATATGTAGTACATTATCACTCGAACCCCCTTTCCATTTGAAATTTTGCGGATAGAGGGTGAAAATACCAATAAAATGTGTCCAGCTAAAAACAAAAAATAACGTTTCCGAGCGATTTTTGATTAATCACCTACAACCTGAGACGAGACAGAAAATCTAGGTGGGATAAGTTTTTCGTGCCCCACCCTGTAATCAATAAACATTCACCAAAACCTTCAGTAGCAAACTTTATCTTACTTCCCTTGTCTTTCAGCCATTTTAAAAAATCGCCGCCACGGCCGCCGGGGGGCAGTTGGGTGATGGCTCCACATCCAAATTTGTTCATATTACATCGGTCTACCTCTGTGCCAAATTTGGTGCCTTTATCAAAAAGTGCACAATAGGTTAGCTGTACTATACATGTAGTTCTTATAGGTACCTAATAGCTGTGTTTATAATTAATGTGTTCGCATCTGCAGTAGCTAACGTTGAACTACTGTTTTCTCTAAATCGTTTTCTAAGTACCTAATTGTATTAATTGAACTTTATTTTTTCCATGCGGCCTAAAAAATCTGCAAATGGTGATTACATTGATAGCAAATAATTTTTTTCTCCAAACGTCAGAAAAACGTCACTTTGTTAACTCCTGTCAAGATGTCAGAAACTTGATTTCTATGCTGCTATGCAAATCCAGCGGGTTAACACCTGTCGAGGTGGTAGAAATTTAATTTCTATGCTGCTTGGCAACCCCAGCGGCAGCAAAAGTACTTTTAGTGCCGCTGGAGCGGCAGTAGAAGTACTTTTAGTGCCGCTGGAGCGGCAGTAGAAGTACTTTTAGTGCCGCTCGTACTTTTACTGCCGCTCAACCATTCACTTGCCCCCGAGCTTACCCCATTCGTTTGGAGAAAAAATAGCGTGTTGCATACGGAGTAGAAGCACTTTTTTGTGCTTCAGCAGTATTGCGAGCCCCTACCGCTTCAGCACAAAAAAGTAAAGCTTCTACTCCTAATACAACAATATACTATTTTCTCCAAACGTCAAAAAAACGTCACTTTGTTAACCCCTGTCAAGATGTCAGAAATTTGATTTCTATGCTGCGAGGCAAATCCAGCAGGTTAACACCTGTCGAGGTGGTGGAAGTTTAATTTCTATGCTGCTTGGCAACCCCAGCGGCAGCAAAAGTACTTTTAGTGCCGCTCGTACTTTTACTGCCGTTCAACCATTCACTTGCCCCCGAGCTTACCCCATTCGTTTGGAGAAAAAATAGCGTGTTGCATACGGAGTAGAAGCACTTTTTTGTGCTTCAGCAGTATTGCGAGCCCCTACCGCTTCAG